CCACTGTATTAGGTAGATGGCGAGAATATTTTGAGGAACTTTTAAATCTCAATGAAGAAAGGGAGGCAGTAATTTCATGCACTGGCCAGGGAGGTATACCATTTTTTAGGAGTGAAGAACAGCAGGATGTGTGTGGGGGAGGTGCATGAGGCATTACATAGAATGAAAGGGGGTAAAGCAGCTGGAACTGATGGGATCATGACAGAAATGTAAAAAGTAGGGGGGGGGGATATAGTGTCAGAGTAGTTGGTATTTTTGTTTAATAAATGTATGAAAGAGGGGAAGGTACCTAGGGATTGGCGGAGAGCATGTATAGTCCCTTTATATAAAGGGAAGGGGGACAAAAGAGATTGTAAAAATTATAGAGGAATAAGGTTACTGAGTATACCAGGAAAAGTGTACAGTAAGGTTATTATTGAAAGAATTAAAGGTAAGACAGAATGTAGGATTGCAGATGAGCAAGGAGGTTTTAGAGTGGGTAGGGGATGTGTAGATCAAGTGTTTACATTGAAGCATATATGTGAACAGTGTTTAGATAAAGGTAGGGAATTTTTATTGCGTTTATGGATTTAGAAAAGGCATATGATAGAGTGGATATGGGAGCAATGTGGCAGATGTTGCAAGTATATCTAATAGGTGGTAAGTTATTAAATGCTGTAAAGAGTTTTTATGAGGATAGTGAGGCTCAGGTTAGGGTGTTTATAAGAGAGGGAGGCTACTTCCCGGTAAAAGTAGGTCTTAGACAGAGATGTGTAATGTCACCATGGTTATTTAATATATTTATAGATGGGGTTGTAAAAGAAGTAAATGCTAGGGTGTTCGGGAGAGGGGTGGGATTAAATTATGGGGAATCAAATACAAAATGGGAAGTGACACAGTTACTTTTTGCTAATAATACTGTGCTTATGGGAGATTCTAAAGAAAAATTGCAAAGGTTAGTGGACGAGTTTGGGAGTGTGTGTAAAGGTAGAAAGTTGAAAGTGAGCATGGAAAAGAGTAAGGTGATGAGGGTATCAAATGATTTAGATAAAGAAAAATTGGTATCAAATTGGGGATGAGGAGTATAGAAGAAGTGAATTTTTTTTTTATTTTTATTATCACACTGGCCGATTCCCACCAAGGCAGGGTGGCCCGAAAAAAAAAAACTTTCACCATCATTCACTCCATCACTGTCTTGCCAGAAGGGTGCTTTACACTACAGTTTTTAAACTGCAACATTAACACCCCTCCTTCAGAGTGCAGGCACTGTACTTCCCATCTCCAGGACTCAAGTCCGGCCTGCCGGTTTCCCTGAACCCCTTCATAAATGTTACTTTGCTCACACTCCAACAGCACGTCAAGTATTAAAAACCATTCGTCTCCATTCACTCCTATCAAACACGCTCACGCACGCCTGCTGGAAGTCCAAGCCCCTCGCACACAAAACCTCCTTTACCCCCTCCCTCCAACCTTTCCTAGGCCGACCCCTACCCCGCCTTCCTTCCACTACAGACTGATACACTCTTGAAGTCATTCTGTTTCGCTCCATTCTCTCTACATGTCCGAACCACCTCAACAACCCTTCCTCAGCCCTCTGGACAACAGTTTTGGTAATCCTGCACCTCCTCCTAACTTCCAAACTACGAATTCTCTGCATTATATTCACACCACACATTGTCCTCAGACATGACATCTCCACTGCCTCCAGCCTTCTCCTCGCTGCAACATTCATCACCCATGCTTCACACCCATATAAGAGTGTTGGTAAAACTATACTCTCATACATTCCCCTCTTTGCCTCCAAGGACAAAGTTTTTTGTCTCCACAGACTCCTAAGTGCACCACTCACCCTTTTCCCCTCATCAATTCTATGATTCACCTCATCGTTCATAGACCCATCCGCTGAATGTTTTCAGATATCTGGGAGTTGATGTGTCAGCAAATGGATTTATGAAGGATGAGGTTAATCATAGAATTGATGAAGGAAAAAAGGAGTGGTGCATTGAGGTATATGTGGAGACAAAAAAACATTATCTATGGAGGCAAAGAAGGGAATGTATGAAAGTATAGTAGTGCCAACACTCTTACATGGGAGTGAAGCTTGGGTTGTAAATGCTGCAATGAGGAGGCGGTTGGAGGCAGTAGAGATGTCCTGTCTACGGGCAGTGTGTGGTGTAAATATTATGCAGAAAATTCAGAGTGTGGAAATTAGGAGAAGGTGTGGAGTTAATAAAAGTATTAGAGGGCTGAAGAGGGGTTGTTGAGGTGGTTTGATCATTTAGAGAGAATGGATCAAAGTAGAATGACATGGAGAACATATAAATCTGTAGGGGAAGGAAGGCGGGGTAGGGGTCGTCGTCAAAAAGGTTGGAGGGAGGGAGTAAAGGAGGTTTTGTGGGTGAGGGGCTTGGACTTCCAGCAAGCGTGCATGAGCATGTTAGATAGGAGTGAATGGAGACAAATGGTATTTGGGACCTGATGAGCTGTTGGAGTGTGAGCTGGGTAATATTTAGTGAAGGGATTCAGGGAAACCAGTTATTTTTGTAGCCGGACTTGAGTCCTGGAAATGGGAAGTACAATGCCTGCACTTTAAAGGAGGGGTTTGAGATATTGGCAGTTTGGAGGGATATGTTGTGTATCTGTATACGTATATGCTTCTGTACTGTTGTATTCTGAGCACCTCAGCAAAAATAGTGTTTGTGTGAGTGAGGTGAAAGTGTTGAAAGATGATGAAAGTATTTTCTTTTTGCGTATTTTCTTTCATTTTGGGTCACTCTGCCTCGGTGGGAGACAGCCGACTTGTTGAGAAAAAAAAATTCTTATTTATAAATTACATACATTGTTTCAGTGTGAACAGTGGTGGTGGCTTCTGCTGCTGCCTCCACTACCACTAATATTTACGGCCCCTCTTAGTGGCCTTTATAAACCCAACACCACCACCTCCACCACTTACTCCTCACTTACATTATGACATATTTTATTAATTCTAGTATATATCATGTTTCGATGTTATTGATATTGTTTATTATGTCATATTAAATGAAGTGTGATAGATAAATAAGCAGTAAAGATGATATTAGCGTCATATTGAAGCATAATAAACTAGCCTCCCTCTTGTCTCATACCTACCTCCTACACCAACTAGAGTCTTCAATAAAGGTAAGTGTGATGTTATTTGTTCATTTATCTATTTTATTAGTGCTTTATATTTATTTGTCATTGTTTTCTGTATGTAAATTTATATTTAATTTTTAAAAGAAATATTTTTTGTTAATACTTTTGGGTGTCTGAAATGCATTAATTGGATTTCCATTATTTTTTATGGGGAAAATGGTTTTGCCAGTCGTGAATTTTGCCATTCAGCAGACTCTCTGGAATGGATTAACCCTTTGTTTCAGGCCCCTTTCTGAAACTGTCATTTCGCTAAATTTAAAAAAAAAAATTGATTTTTTCTTATGAAATGATAGAGAATCGTTTCCCAATGGTAATGACACCAAAAGTTCGAAATTTGGTCGAAAACTCATGGAATTACGCTCCCGCGAAGTTATCGGTCTCGGCGACATATGCGTATCGGCGATTTCGCCGACTTTGAGCCCTATTTTCAGCCAATTCCGTTGTTCCAGTTGACCATACTCATAGCTATTTCTTTAGAACTCCATTTTATCTATCAGCTGAGTACAAGAAACCTCCCATTTACCAATTTGGACTACCCAATATTGTGGTCAGAAATTGGCAATTTGGCCAATTTCACGCAAACTAAAAAAGATGCCAATTTTAAAATAGGGTCTAGAATAAACAAGATAGACATTTTTGGCACTAAAATAACATATCCTCTGTTCATTAGTCACATCTCTAGGCCCCTCTTATATTATTATTGCTTTCTATTTTGATTTTTTATTCATACAAAAAAATACAAAATTTACTGTTATGCAGACTACTGCATTATTGTAAAAATGGTATAAATAATATCAGTGCACTAGAGAAAGAATATTAGACTCCCCAGTTGACGTGTATTGGACATGTGGTGTGATTTGTTTACTCCTGAACATTGGTAAAAATCGAACATTTCTGCTACTTTGAGCTCAGTTTCAAGGACGTTTTCATCGTCAAAGTAATGAAAATCATCTCTATTTCTGTAATGTGTTTTCCATTTTATCACCTAAGACCATGAAAACGCAAATACATTGATAAATACTATACGAAAATACACCTCAAAGTCGGCGTTTTATTCCAAAAAAACGATCAGTTTTTTTTTCTCATTACGCACTGTGTGCTGCAGGATTTTTTTTATGTGGTGCACACTGACCATACAGACCCATTCTCTCATATGTGGGCCTACCAGCTTTCTTCCGCTTGATTTGAAGCCGCTAGAATTAATGAGTATATATACGTCTGAAACACTGGCTCGTAAGATGTATATATACGACCAAAACAGTCAAAGGGTTAATAATGAAACTCGGGGGTCCACTGTATATGTGCTGTGTGATGAAGACTACCCAGTAACAAATTAACTTATTTATAATTGAATACCTGTACAGTGGACCCCCGCTTAACGATCACCTCCAAATGCGACCAATTATGTAAGTGTATTTATGTAAGTGCGTTTGTACGTGTATGTTTAGGGGTCTGAAATGGACTAATCTACTTCACAATATTCCTTATGGGAAAAAATTCGGTCAGTACTGGCACCTGAACATACTACTGGAATGAAAAAAGTTCGTTAACCGGGGGTCCACTGTAATGGCATCTCAGTTTGACTAAGGTTTTACCAGGACCATTAAAACACCACTCTTGCCAACCTTGCCCATTAGCAGAGTAAGGCTTTTAATTGTACTATTATGCTAGTATATTAGTGTATATAAAATGTACACCAGCATCCTTTAGCTTATAAACTGAACTGTGTAAAAAATTATGGAAATTAGAATTAATTTTATTTCTAGATAGAACTTACAATAGTTATAAAGAGAAACAGCAGTTTACCAAAATATTCACTTGGTTACATATTATTTCACAATTTTCAGGTTGATCTGACAGCAGTGATAATAGGTCGTCTGCTTCCAGCACTAATAAATCATTTGGATGCTTATGTTGAAGGCAGCAGAAGAGTGCGTGGCAATATTTCTTCAGAAGCAGCAGTAGTTCAGTACCTGAGAGCAGGAGCTGGGTTACACCGTGCGCTCAAGTCACGTGATGATGAAACAGCATACTTGAGAGGTGTTATTAGCACAGTCCTACCATCACTTCTTCCTGCAAAATATCTGTCAAGCAGGTTAGTTGGCAGACATAAAATTGTGTTGATGAATAAGTTTGGGCTTTTTCTCCTATTTTCAGCATTGCACACATTTTGTTCTACTGTTTAATGAGGCTTCAGGCTATGATACTTCTGTTATATATGTACTTTTTTTTATTATTAGTTATACTTATTTTCTTTTTATCACTATAATAACTGGTGAGTGCATTTATTTACTTTATAAATTATTAAGCTGATCTAGTTACCATCTTCCTCTGTGGAATGACAGTTTATGTTTAACACTTTGAGTGTCAAGACCCCTGCTTGCAAACTTGCTCATAGTGTCGAAGAATTTAAAAAAAAAATAATTTTTTCTAATGAAATGATAGAAAATCTTTTTCCAAAGGTAATGAAACCAAAAGTTCGAAATTTGATGAAAAACTTATTGAAATTATGCTCTCGCGAAGTTAGCGGTCTCAGGGATATTTACATATCGACTATTTCACCCACATTTAGCCCTATTTTGGGCCAATTCCTTTGTTTCACTCGATCAAACTCATAGCTATTTTGCTAGAACTCCATTTATTCTATCAATTGAGTACAAGAAACTGCTCATTTACCTATTTCAACTACACAAAAAAGGTGATCAGAAATTACTAAATTCAAGAAAGGCCAATTTCATAATAGGGGCCAGAATAACAGCACATACATTCCTGGCACTTAAATAACATTTTTTTCTGTTCGTTAGTCATGTCTCCAGGCCCCTCTTATGTTACGCTTGCTTTTCATTTTGATTTTTTAGTCACACAGAAAATAGATGATTTACTGTTATTCAGATTGCTGCATGGTTGCAATAATTATACAAATAATATCGGTGCATTCGTGAATGCATATTAGACGTGTATTGGATGCGTGATGTGATTTGTTTACTCTTGAAATCATAGCAGTAGAAACCAATTTGTATACACAAATGGCGTAAACTCCACTACACAACCTGTTCTTGTTGGAGTATCACAGGGTAGAGTCCTTGGCCCACTTCTCTTTCTCATTTGCATCAGTGACCTCCCAAATGCATCTAAATTCCTTCAACTTGTTTTATTTGCAGGTGACACTACTTATGTCTTCTCTCGCCCAAACCCAACTATACTAACAGACACTGTAAATGATGAACTAATAAAAATATCTACTTGGATGACTACCAATAAACTTACTCTCAATATAGACACAACCTACTTCATGCTATTTGGAAACAGAGCTACAAATGTACAGCTAAACATAATGATAAATGGTTCACCCATTTTCAGACACACACACACACACACACAGGGCAAATATCTAGGTCTCCACCTTGACTGCAGTCTCAAATTCCATACCCACATACAGCAAATGTCCGAGAAAGTCTCCAAAACAGTAGACATCCTTTAAAGATACGGTACTATGTACCCCAAATTATGTGCATAAAGGGCTCGAGGATCTGGAATTTATTGCCAGAACACACTAAAGGGCCCCTGCCTGCAAATCAATTCAAAGCCCTACTTAGAAATCACCTCATCACCCAAAATTAACCAGACAAACACTATACTTAACACTTACCAGTTACTCAAAAAACAACTAAATAATTTATGACTGCTCAACTATTTGATCATTTACTTCACTTAAAATTGTTTCAACCTCATTATTGTAAATTGTGCTTGATGATTGCTTAACTATTCAATAATTACTTTTTTTTTTTTTTTTTTTTTTTTTTACACAGGGTTTGATAAGATTAGGTTATGGGTCCCTAGCTTTATTGACAAGCTATTTGCAGGTTAAGGATTCCTAACTTCATTGACAAGCTAAGAGCTGTTACCTACATCAGCTCATTTGAAAGCATTTTTTATCATTATGAAACATACAAGTAGGGAACAGGATGAAGTTGGAGCCATCTGTGGGCCAGTATTTTCATCTGATCAACTGACTATCTCATTGACATCATAATGCTGTACGAATGTGTTCCATACTCGAGTTATCCTGGGGACAAATGATCTCAGATGAAGTGATGTTCTGGAGAAGGGTACAGCCAGAGTGAGTTGCTGCTTGCTTCCCGTCTTGTGGTATAGAAGCTTGCTTCACGCTGTCCTCGAAGTGGATCCAAGTGTGGTACTTTGACAATATTGGCCTTGTACATAACAGTAAGGCAACCCACATCCCTCCTGTGTTGAAGGCTGTGCAGAAATGACAGATCTATCCAGGATTGGTCCAGGCAAAAGTTGAGACATCTTGCTTTGTTCTCTACTCTGTCAAGCAGTCGCAGATGAGAAGGGGGGCAGGTGAACCAAGAAAGTAGAGTATACTCAAGGTGTGAGCGTACTTGTGCCTCGCACAAAATCTTGCAACCCCTCCTGTCAAGCAGATGAAAGATATGGCGTAGTGCTGTAAGCTTTCTGGCTGCCTTGTTTGCAAGATTTACAACATGGTTTTTCATGGTCAGTTTGGAGTCAAATTTCACCCCAAGGATATCAACTTCTTTCCCAGGTACCAACACCCTCCCATTCATCCTTACTACTGCACCGGCATTCCATCATGGTGCCTAGAGATCATCATCATTTGCGTTTTCTCAGGTGCAAATGTTTCTTGCCATCTATTTCCCCAAGCTGATATAGCTCTTAGCTGGTGATTGATGTAGCTTAGAGCAGCTGGGATTTCTTGGATAAGTGAATGTCAGTGTACAGCCGTCTGCATATGCATAGGATCCTGGGATGAGATGAAGGTCATTGAAGTAGGCATTCCATAACAATGGTCCCAGAATGCTTCATTGTGGAACACTTGCCCCAATAGGATGTCTTGCTGATTTTGTTCTATTGAGAACTACTTCCAACTTAAAATTGTTTCAGTTTCATTGCTTTAAATTGTGCTAAATTGTAATACTGTAGTTTTTATATAATACATCAAAACTGTAATTCTTCTCTACCTAACTTATTAAAGCCATATAGAGTGTACTAATAGAATACAGTGGACCCCTGGTTTTTGTCCTTAATCTGTTCCAGAATGTTGGTTGAAAACCGAAATGGGCAAAAACTGAAGTAATATTTCCCATAAAAAATAATGTAAATCCAATTAATCTGTTCCAGACACCCAAAAATATTAATAAAATTAAAGTTAGTAATAGAACAAGGCATTAAAAAACACAATAGAAAATAAAATACCTACACAATACATTCATTACTCACCTTAAAATATTTGTAGTCTTAATGTAGGGTGAGAGGTGAGTAGTATTTATCCATAGGAAGTCAGTGTAGTCAGTGTAGGTAGCTAGCAGGTGTAGCCCACCTGGGCTACACCTACTGGCTACCTACACTGTGGTCCAGAGCCATATTACCATTGACATACCATGTTCACGAAGTTTGTTTCTGACAACTTCCTCTAGACGCCATCATAAACAAAGGGAGAAGTAATGAATAATTCATGCCGAGAATTGTAAACAAAAGCTGGTGACTGAACCAATGCAGATTCATACACGCTTTCTCTAATGCTAGTCCAGAAAAAACTTAATGTTTTCCATACACCAACTGCCACCCCTCTTTAACATACAAACATTACATGTTTATATGCTATGTAACATGTTTCTTACATAATTTTGAAGAAAATATTATACTAGATGGATTAATGAAAATGTCTATATTAACGTAAAATACAGTGGTCCCTCAATAATCGTTCGGCCTGAAAGTCGTCCATTTCGGAAATAGTCCTGTTTTTTCGTCAAAATATTGACTCGGAAATGGTCCGGTAACTCGCTAATAGTCCTTCGTCCCGGAGGCGTACTCACGGTCTGAGCCACCTCCAGCCGCCTCGGCCTTTCCTTCCCAGCCAGTGTGCCATTGTTTACCAGTGAGCGACGGTCCTCTCACGTGCTCCAGCGAAATATTTCATATTTCATTTATTTTAGTGCTTGCAAGTTATTTAAGTGCTAAATAAGCTACCATGGCTCCAAAGAAAGCTCCTAGTGCCAAGCCTTGGGTAAAGAAGGTGAGAAATATGATTGAATTTAAGAAAAACATAATTGAACAATATGATAGTGGTGTACGTGTGGGCGAACTGGCCAGGATGTATAACAAATCCCGTACATCATAGCCAAGAAAAAGGAAATCATGGATGCTGTTGTTGCAAAGGGGGTATATATGCTGACAAAAATGAGATCACCAGTACTCGAAGATGTTGAGAAGTTGTTATTGGTGTGGATAAATGAGAAACAATTAGCAGGAGATAGTCTTATGACGTCGCTTATTTGTGAAAAGGCTAGGCAGTTGCATGACGATTTGGTAAAGAAATTGCCTGCAACTAGTGATGATGTGAGTGAATTTAAGGCCAGCAAAGGCTGGTTTGAGAGATTTAAGAAGCATACTGGCATACACAGTGTGGTAAGGCATGGTGAGGCTGCCAGTTCGGACCACAAGGCGGCTGAAAAATATGTGCATGAATTCCAGGAGTACATAGAGGCTGAAGGACTGAAACCTGAACAAGTGTTCAATTGTGATGAAACAGGCCTCTTTTGGAAGAAAATGCCAAAGAGGACCTACATTACTCAGGAAGAAAAGGCACTGCCAGGACACAAGCCTATGAAAGACAGGCTGACGCTCATGTTCTGTGCTAATGCTAGTGGGGATTTCAAAGTGAAGCCATTACTAGTGTACCATTCTGAAAATCCCAGAGTGTTCAGGAAAAACAATGTTATCTGGAGTTTATCTGGAGAGAGTTCCGGGGGTCAACGCCCCCGCGGCCCGGTCTGTGACCAGGCCTCCTTAGGTCAGTGTCCCAGGATGCGACCCACACCAGTCGACTAACACCCAGGTACCCATTTTACTGATGGGGAACATAGACAACAGGTGGAAAGAAACACGTCCAATGTTTCTACTCTGGCTGGGAATCGAACCCAGGCCCTCACCGTGTGAAGCGAGAGCGTTAACCACCAGGCCACCAGAGTAAATTGTGTGTGTTTTGGAAATCTAATAGTAAGGCATGGGTCACGATGGAAAATTTCATCGAGTGGTTCAATGAAGTGT